TTAAAACTCTCGAAATCCTCAGTTTCCTCATCTATAATAATAGTACAGGTGATAATCTCTTTTTTTGTAGGATTTTTATAAGGATTAAATTAGATAACTAATGTTGCCAGTACCCAATAACTATTTTTAGCGGGACCAGCAGTTAGCGTAATGGCTATGTCTCTGGACTTCCATGTAGTCCACTGTGGTTCGGGTCCTGGACCCTGTGGCTTAAATTCATACCAGGAGTGTGTGCGTGCATGCCCAAGATCCTGAGAGGAGAAGGGATTGTGGCATGGCCATCCCCTACCCCTGGGGGGTGATTTCTCGCTTTCTGTCTCTTTGTCTCTCTCTGTCTTTCTGGCGAGCACTCGTGCCCTATAGCGAAAACCTCTCCAAAAATAGAAAAAACAAAAACAAAAACTGTTTTTAGCTAAATGATCCCTATCTAGTGATTCATGTAGAGCACAACCTCTCAAACTTTAACAGATTCAGAGCCTTTCTACTCAAAATGTAAGACTTTTAGTCTATTTGTGCTGCTATAACAAAATACCACAGATGAGGTAATTTATAAAAACAAGAAATTTATTTCTCATTAGTTGTAGAGGCTGGGAAGTCTAAGATCAAGCTGCTGGCATTACTATATTTTTACTGTCTAGTAAAGGCTGCTCTCCACTTCTAAGATGGGGCCTTCTTGCTGCAGCCTCTGGATGAGAGGAATGCTGTGGCAGAAGGGGAAGGGAGGCGAATACTGTATATGGCCTCTTTTATAAGGGTCTTATTCTCATTCTTGAGGGAGGAACCCTCATGGCCTAATCACCTTTTAAAGAATCAACCTTTTAATACTGTCACATTGACCATTAAATTTCAGTACCTGAATTTTGAAGGGGACACATTCAGAGCATAGCAGCATCAGCTCAATAGTGTACCTGGAGGGGAGCCAGCAGGTGGCATGGTGGTTAAGGGTACTGGATTCCCACATGGCCAACCACAGTTTGGGTCCTGGACCTGGCAGTTTGCTTTCTCCCTTTCTTTATCTCTGGTCAAATTAAAAATAATTATAAATGGAAATAAATAAATAGAATAAATAATTCTTTTTAAAAAAGAGTGTACCTGGAAAGTAGATGTTTATCCCTTCCATTCCTTAAAAACACCTATTTGTGGGGGCTGGCAGGTGGTGCAGTGACTGGGGGCACTGGATTCCCACATGACCAACCGTGGTTCAAGTCCTGGGCCTGGTGACTTGCTTTCTCACTTTCTCTCTCTCTCTCAAAAAAAAACTTTCTCTCTCTCTCTCTCTCTCTCTCTCTCTCTCTCTCTCTCTGGTAAAACTGGAAAATAGTGATAATAATTAAAGTTAAATAAAATAATTCTTTTAAAAATTTATGGATTTTTATCTTCCAAGCTCCTAATTGACCCTTCCAAAACACATACACAAAAACACAGGTAGATTTCCATCTAGTTTCTAGCTTTTAGCTGGGATCTATATCCTAAGCTATCCCAGAGAGAATTCTGTGTGTGTGTGTGTGTGTGTGTGTGTGTGTGTGTGTGCTGAGGGCATCAAGGGTTCAATGATTATTTTATAGTATCTTCTTTGAGGAGGGGGAGTTCGAATTTGATCACAGAGGATATGTAGGTAGAGTTGGATTAGGCAGAGCCAAATGGAAAGGACATCATAGAGAGAGGGAAGACATGAGCAATGGTAAGAGACAGGAATTTGGGGTCATTCCATGAACACTTAACTTGTTAAACTTGATGAGGAAGTGGATGGTGGAACAATTTAAGTAAGACTAGAAAGATGTGTGAAATCTGCGTCATGGAGAGCCTTGACTTGTTCAGGATTTGGAGTTTTATACTGAAAGCTAAGGCCAGCCACTAACAGCATTTACTGTACTTGTCTATGTATTCTCCTTGTGTGGGGAGTCTAGCTCCTGAGGACAATGAGCCAGACTCATTGGAGATGGTCCCAGGTCACTCGGTGCAGATCTTGTCCTTCAGAGTGAGCTAGAGGTAGATTTTGACATCCTGAAAATTTTAGTGGAATCACTATCAGGTAGCTCCTCTACAAATAGCCATAAACTGCTGGCTTGGTCATTTTATCAAAAATACTAAAGGCCTGGTCAATGAGGTCTTTATTTGGCTCACCTGTATGTCTATCATTTTAGTATGATGCATACACCATCTTTGGCAATTTCTGAACTAAGTCTATTGGCACAAATTCACTATATGCACCTAAACTCAAACTGAATCTCTGAAGACTCCATTTTGGGAGTTAATTTTTTTAAATAACTTATTACTCCACCTATTAGATTATCTACAATAGAGATCAGCAATTTTAACAATATTCCAAGGTGAGGTATCTAGCATGTGTGGGGAGAAAGGACTGGAGAAGATCTTAGACTCTCTCTCATTAGAATGGCCCATGTTCTACTCACTTATGGTGTCATCTCTGAAAACCTTTTTCACATCATGTTTACTTTGCCTATCAATGTGAGGAGCAGGCAGAGTTGTAGAATCAGGAGAAAAATAAAACAGCTTATAGTCACCATTTTGTTCTCTGCCCTCTGTGATCTTTCAGAGAAAATACATCAGCTTATCTAGTCCAATTTATTCTTCCACAATCCTTGTTGATTTTCTCCTGGTACTTCTTATTGTCTTGGTGGTTGCTAAGTGATTATTGGGTTTACCCCCAGCATCTTCCCAGGTAATTATATTCATTAGCAGAAGTTATTTTTCCTCCTTTTGGAAAGATGGATTGGCCATTTCTTTCTTCTAATCCTTGGGTATTTAATTCTGCCCTACAGAATGATGACAAAGATAATAGCTAATGAATCTTTAACAATAACTCCTAATTCCTAAAATATCATAGGTAAATGTCAAAAGGTGTCATGTACTCATAATTGTATCTATCCTTTAATCTTTCATTTCACTTTTTTATGATCTTGTTGTTGGTTCTGAAATTAAAGGGCAACATTTTCTCCATCATTTAATATGAAATTCATCAAGTAAGACCCTCCCACATATGGACCAATAATCACAGGTTCCACTGCCCTGCCCCAGTACATAGGCTATATAGCTTAATGAATCAAGCTGCTCCACTCTACCCTTTCATGACTTGCACTCTCTGTATACCAGAATTTATGTATGTAATGCATAAATAAATCTTTTGCCCATGTCTTTAAGCTGCATGGAAAATACTTTGCTTATGTATACTTTCTGCGGATAACTCTGGTAGTTTTCATCAGGTTTTTTTTTTATTTTCTTTTCTTTGTTTTTTAGACAGGGTCTCACCATCTTGCAGTCCTCCTGCCTCAACCTCCTACCTGGGACTACAAGTGCATGTCACACCTGGTGCCTTTTTTTCTTTTTTTTCTTTTTTTAAGACAAGGTCTTGGCATGTTGCCCAGGCGAGCCTTGAGTTTGAGATCTTAATGCCTCTGATTCCCAAGACACTTGGATTACAGGCACATATCACTGTACCTGGCCTTTAGGATGAATCAGACTTGAACCTGGTCCTCCCATGTGGTCCTAGCCTGTGGAGCACAGCACCATAGCAGCCTGTGTCACCACAGCTGGGCCAGTTTTGTTTTTGTTTTTGTTTTTGCGGGGTTTGTTTGTTTTGTTTTGCTAGAAGTCATGTGCACTTGGCGGAGAGAGACAAAGAGACAGAGAAAGAGGAGAAAGCACCTGCATGGATAATGGTCATGCCACAATTCCTTTTCCTCCATCTCTCCCACCTTTTGGGATTTGGGGCACATACGCATACATACACATGCCTAGCATGTTTCTTGAGCTGCCAGGTCCAGGACTCGAACTGTGACATGAGCCATGTGGGATTTGGCTGTCTCAACCACCAGGACACAGGGCCAGCCCCATACAATTTTTAAAAGTGTCAATTTACTAAAGCCAAATTAAGAGCCATTATAAAGAACACATACAACCTCTGCTACTTCAACTCAAGCCTTTGGAAATGGAGATGGTTAGAGTGGGTACACCCAAATAGTTGTCCTAAATGAATCTGAAGGTACAGATACAATTGTCCAAATCTCAGGTTCTTTCAGTGGATAAACTCAAAAGTATAATCCAGAGCTACAAATGTGCCCTTTCTCTACTTTGTTCTCTTGCCCCAAGTTGTAGCACTCAGAGTATTTGTTCTTAAACATCACTCAGCTTACTCCTTTTTTTCTTTTCTTTTCTTTTTTTTAACCCCTTTTTCTTCTTCAGAAACCATATTCCTGGGCCAGCCTGTAGCCTAATGGTTAAGGAAGCGGAATTTCACATGACCAACCAAGGTTTGAGTCCCAGCCCTGGTGGTTTGAAAAACACTCTAGGCATGTGTGGGTGTGTGATCCAAATCCCATCAGGATGGAGAAATGGAGGAGAAGGGATTGTAGCATGGCCATACCCCACTGGGGTTGCGTTATCCTTCTCTCTGTTTCTCTCTGGCAAGCACATGTGCCTTCTGGCAATTAAAAAACTAAAAAGAAACTATATTCCTTCTGTTTAGTCATTTCCTGCACAACTCAATTTCTTTTCTCCCCCTTCTCTTTTTTTGTAGCTATTCTTTTTTTATTCCTTAACTTTAATTCTGCAGAAACACTTTCTGCGTTTTGCTACTAGTAGAATTGCAATGCATTGGGCCAATGGTAGACCACCAGTTGTCAGGAGAAACATCTTTTATTCTTTGATTTTTTTTTTATCTGTAATCATGGTGATGAGCTTTGTCCAGTGGATTTAAGCCCTTAGTGTGCTTTGGAATCACTGAAAGGAATTTTGCAAACCACAAAGCCTGGCCCATATCCCCAAAACTTTGAATTCAGCTGCCCTAAGATGGGGTCTAGGTGTTGACATTTTTCTTTTTTAAAGTTTATCAAGTAATTCCATTGTGCAAACAAGATCGAGAGCCACTGGTTTAATCCAACAGGACTTGGCAGAGTGTTAGACCATTTCAAAGAGTGCTGTGGTACCTGGCTAAGGTTCTAGCATTCCCACAGGGTAACCATGTCCTCTTTTTTCCCCAGATGGTGCTCCTGGCCAGGTGTGAGGGGCACTGCAGCCAAGCATCACGCTCCGAGCCCTTGGTGTCCTTCAGCACTGTCCTCAAGCAACCCTTTCGTTCCTCCTGTCACTGCTGCCGGCCCCAGACCTCCAAACTGAAGGCATTGAGGCTGCGTTGCTCAGGGGGCATGCGACTCACCGCTACCTACCGGTACATCCTCTCCTGTCACTGTGAGGAATGCAGCTCCTGAGGCCTGCTGTTGAGTGGCTTCTGCATGGGACAACCACAGAGGCAGTATGACCAGCCAGAGACTGACTGGCATAGAAAGAGTTAAGGAAAAACAAAACAAAACAAACAAAAAACAAGATGCAGTAATTCTCATGGGATTCTCCATGGTCTAGTTATAAAGACTACATGCTTGTTAACAGAAAGAGATACTCTGGGAAATTGCCTTCAGTTCCCATCTCCTTTCCCTGGTACAATTTCTTTAGGTTCCTTTTCAGATTCAAGCATTTTCCCCCTTGGCTCTGAACACTGCTTGGGTTTTCAACAATTTTGCATTAGTGGAGAAAAGTGGGTTCCCATGCAAGAGCGTGTCAGGCTGTCACTGTTTTGGTAGTATTAGAGAATTTGCTTTGAAAAGCAGGAAAGCCCATCTCTCTGAGACATCTTCTATTTTCTTCTTCTTTTTTAAAAGTCTTGTCATTTTGATCTAAGTTTGCCATTGCTGCTAAAAATTACCAGTTTCAAAACCCAGATGCCAAGTTTGTGGATATGTTTAGCCAGTTTACTCACAGCCAACTAACTGACATTAAAATAACTAACAAACAGATTCTCTTATGTGATGTTGAAACTCTTGACAGGTATAATTATTCAGAAATCAGAAATAGCTTTTGGGAAGTAAAGATGGCATAAAGAATCTGTCACCTGAAGGTTCTTGTAGATAAAGTATGGTAACATTTTGTGAGGGAGCAGACTTTTAAAGACTTGCACAAATATGGATCCTGCACTGACTTTGGAAAAGGCATATATGTACTTGTGGCATGGAGAATGCACCAAACTCATGCATGCAGGTTATACAACCAAGTATGAATCTATCTGTGGGTGTGCTATAGCTTTAGCTATTCCATGGATATCGTTCTCCAGCATCCACTTGTCCACGTGAAGATCATTGCCAAAATGGTGGCCTGGCTCATCTTCTGAACATTTGGTTCAAATATATTTTGGTCCTTGAGGTTCAAATGTTTCCATGTTTTGAAATAAAAAGAGAATATCTTCAAACTTTTGACTAAGCATTGTTTGTTTTTCTACTCAATATCCTATGATATAGAACAGATGATACATGTAGCTAGTTCTTGAGCATCTCCTTTGATATGGAAAGAAGGTCTACAAAAAGAGTCAGAGTTCCAGAATACATGGTGGAGGCATTTTTGGAAATCAATGTACTAAGGTGGTGGTGACTTATGAACTTTGGCTACTAGTCTCAGAATTTAGCCTCTTGAATGAACACAAAATTTGCTTTCTGGCTTCCTTAGATGTTATAGAATGAAACAGAGAAGGTATCTTCTTTTAAATCTATTCACTTTTCTCAGAGGATACATAGCCATAACTGAAGTCTGAAGAACCAGTGATTGGACAAATAGTTCACAGACTATGGTTCTGAGCCATTGACTATCGAGTGCTACAAAGTCACTGATATAAGAATGCTCATGATACTAGCATAGTGCTATACCCACGTTAGGAATCTCAACACTAACCCAGACTTAGCAACTCGGTTTCCAGGACACCCTTGACACTACTCTATCCTGTTGAACCAGAAATAATGATGCTCTCCACTAGTACAGTCAATCTGTGGATTACTTCTCCTGTAGAAAAGATGATATTGTATACTCTCTGGTACCACTTTCACACATTGTTTAGAAAACCAACAGGGTCAAATTTATATTTGTGGCTTTGAAACAGAATGAAAGTAATGCCATTAAACCTTGACTTTCATTTTAACCTTCGTAGTGACAGAGCCAGCTAGTCCACTAAACTGGAAGTTCTCCCCATTCTGAAAGCAAATATGAAATGGTAATTTGGACCAATATGCCAGGAGAAATTGTGCCATTAAAAGAACTAAATTAAATAATGAAAGTTAAATGGTTATAATTTTTTTTGAGAGTTTTTTGCTATAGGGCGTGCGTGCTCACCAGAAAGACAGAGAGAGACAGAGAGACAGAAAGCGAGAAATCACCCCCCATGGGGGATGGTCACACCACAATCCCTTCCCCTCCATTCTCCTCTCGGGATCTTGGGCACACATGCACACATGCCCATTGTGAATTTAAGCCACCAGGTCTGGGACTTGAATCGTGGTTGACTACATGGGAATCCAGCAACATAGCCATTACACCAACTGCTGGTCCCTAAATGGTTATGATTCTTAACTGATAAAGTATTAACTATAAATCACATTTATGACTGTCCTTTCATGTTGCTAATCAAAAATGGCAATGATACTTCTAGGCTTATAATGTCTCTTCTTTGCTTTGAAAACTCAATTTGCTCTGAGAGTCTGTAATACGAGAAGTCTACAAAAAGTTCATTTTATAGAAGATACTTTATGAAAAAATTATGCATAGATTTAAAAAATATTTTGCATCCAAATAAATTTGTGCTTTAATTCCATTTTTTTTCACAAACTTTTAGAAGTCCCCTTGTTTATGCCCTTTGTTTGTTTCTTTCCTACCAGTTTGGGACTGAAGATGAGGAGTTATATGACTCCTATCTTCCAAGTGCTCTGGAAGTCATAGAAAATAGTCCCTTCAAACCCTATTACTTGATCTATTGTCAGAAATTCCCCCATGGAGATGAGCAAAATATGCTTAGCAAGATAGAGAATTATAGGATGGGGACGTGGGGAAGGTCATTAGAAGGGATCCACCCTTTTCTCACCCTAGATATACGAGCAAATGGAGACCTGCAAAAATCTAGCCATTTGTTCTAAGTCTCACATTTAGTCTTGGCTTTGGATCTAGAACCCAGGCTCCTGTTTCCATAGCTCTGGGTACCTCCCTTCCTTTCTTCCCACCAGTAAAAGGAGTCTCACTCCTTTCAGGATCTTGAATACTGAATATGGTGAATATGCTGGAAAAGAGCATGGTGAAAAAGGATAAAGTTTATTGGGGGCATAATAAGGCTGAGAAAAAGGGAAAAAAAAGTTATATTTTCCCTAAAGGCCTAAAAATAGCCCTGGGAACTAAAAGAATTTAGACATTGTTGGATATTAAGTTGCTATGGAATTTGTATTATATCTTTTTAAAAATTAAACATATTTAGCCTTATTTTGATGTCTACCCCTAAGAGTTGAGAGAGAACCAAATAAAAACATTGATCAGTTAAAAAAACACTACTCTGGAATGCCTAAGGAATGTTAATTTGCCTTCCTTATTTACTGTACATGAAAAAAAGGAAAATTAAAATATGTTAGAATCTTAGTTGTTACATTTAGAAAGCCTCTTGTAAACTACTCTTGCCCTCATCATTTGTAAGCATTTAATAATAGTTAATATTGCCACGGAAGATAGAGGGATTTATGAACTCCATTGATTTTTTTTTTCTTCTTTTTAATTGCTGGAGAGCATGTGCACTTGAGAGAGAGAGAGAGAGAGAGAGAGATGGAGAAAGCACTCTCTCAATAGGGCATAGTCACTCTGCAATCCTGTCTCCTCCATCTTTCCATCCTGTCAGGATTTGGGGTATGCACACACAAATGTCCAGTGTGTTTTTCAAGTTGGCAGGACTGGGACTCAAGTCATGTGGTCAGCCATGTGGAATCCAGCTCCCTTAACCACTAGACCATGGGACTAGTCCCTTAATTGATTTTTTTGAGCTCCCAGCTTCCCAGAACATTCCCTTAAGTATAAACTTAAGCTTTTGCATCTTCCCTGGAAGCTTAGAATGAAGGCCAAATCAACCTTTCTTGGTCCTACGAAAATAGTGGTTAATTTTTTTCTAAATTCAAGTGTTTGTTAATCCACTCAGTACATTATTTTGTATTACATAGAGCAGGGTGCATACTCACAATGACTGGCAAACTATTTGAGTACACCAATTTCTTCATTGTGATCTTAGAGAAGTTAGGATATGGCTTTGCTTTCAGTTACTTCTTCCAGTCCTGTTGAAACTTACACACTTGGGCAAGATAGCTGCTCAAGGTTGAATGCCATATGCATGGGAGCAGGGGCATAAGAAGGCTTACATCAGAAAGGGAAACCGTATCCTGCTGATGCTGCCCTCTTCCTGACTCCAGGGCACAGACACACCCTGTTGGACAGACACATCATTCTCTTCAGGAGCTAAAATAGTGGAGAGGCTTGGGTCTGGGATGAGTTCTGCCCACAGTTGTATCGCTACATGTTGAATGGAGCTCTTTGTTTAGTGATGCTTGTCTCAGTGCACAGAGGTATCCAGCTACACTCGCTGAAGGATAGCATTTTATGAGAAAATGACTTTACAAGCCAATCAATCAATGTCAGAGCCCTTTATCTTCTTGTAAGTCTTTACTATATAAATTACATGTTTTGGTACGTTCTACCATAAATCTATGAGAACATAAACCTTTTTAAAAATTCCATTATCTCTCAAAAAAAGAAAATTCCATTATGGGGACCAGCAGTTAGTATAATGGCTATGTCACTGGACTCCCATGTAGTCAACCGTGGTTCGTGTCCCGGATCCAGTGGCTTAAAACTCACGCCAGGCGCATGTGCGTGTGTGCCCAAGATCCTGAGAGGAGAATGGAGGAGAAGGGATTGCGGTGTGGCCATCTCCCCTGAGGGGTGATTTCTCACTTTCTGTCTCTCTCTCTCTCTCTGTCTGTCTGGCAAGCACATGTGCCCTATAGCAAAAACCTCTCCAAAAAAAAAAAAAAAAGAAAAGAAAGAAAAAAATTCCATTATGAATATAATTTGAAATGTCTTATTGGTTAAAGTCATTCTAATCCCTCAAATGTCAATGTCATCTTCTCCTATAGTAGACAGAACATTTTAAATTTTTAAAAATTATTTTATTTAACTTTATTTATTTATTTAAATTTGACCAATGTGTGTGTCTGTGTATGTCTGTGTGTGTCTGTGTCTGTGTGTGTGTGCGCGCGAGAGAGAGAGAGAAGAGAGAGAGAGAAAGCAAACCACCAGTTCAAGGACTCAAACTGGAGTCAGCCATGTGGGAGTCCAGTTTTTACCACGACTTCACCAGCCAGCCTCCACTTTAAGTTTTTTTTTTGTTTATTTATTGGGACCAGTGGATGGTGTAATGGTTACATAGCTGGACTCCCACATAGTTGACCACAGTTCGAGTCCTAGTCCCGATGGCTTAAAACTCATGCTGGGCATGTGTGCCCAAGATGCCAAGAGGAGAATGGAGGAGAAGGGAAAGCAGTGTGGCCATCCCGCCCCTCCCCCTCAAAGTGATTTCTTGCTTTCTGTCTCTCTGTCTCTCCAGTGAGCACATGTGCCCTATAGCATAAATCTCTCTCTCTCAAAAAAGTATATTTATTTCTCTGTAAGCAAGAGAGAGAAAGAGAAAGATAGTACTCCCAACAGGGTTTTGACACCACAATCCTCTCTCAATCCTCAAACAGCCATGGATCATGGGCAAGCAGGTGCCCAGCATATTTAGGGAGATCTCTGGACTTGAACAAAGAAACTTTCTATATGGGATTGCTTTGCAGAGCATTGTAGTTTACCACTACACCACTCTCTGTCCCTGACAGAATATTTTAACTTTGATGACTGTGGTGAACATGGATAAATATCAACCAGATCCTTCTTCAGGAAGGCTGTTTGTTGTTCCAGCTGTCAACCCCTTCAGGAACTGCCTTAGTTTCATAAGGAGCCACTTTGCCCAAGGACATTCCCTTCTAGGGGTGGCTAATATCCAAGGCTTGATAGAGGCTGGAGTATAAAGACCAGGCTTCTTGGCCAAAAGGGGGACAATGGTAAAGAGCATTTCTCCTTCCTGAGTCTCTCTCTAGGTTGGTTTAAGTGTACAAGTTCTATTTTTCTTTCTACCTAAGCTTGCTTCCTACTTTTCCTTATATGGGTACTCATCCTTAATAAATATCCTGCATCACAAATTCCATCTCAGCATGTGACTCTTGAGAATTGAGACCAAAACTGTAACTTTTATGTATGTATTGGCCTACAAAAAGAAAGTGCATTATTTTTGTATCTTAGCCTTCTAGTGTTATTGTGTGGCCCTTATTATTTAAGGGTTTA